CATGGGTCACTACTGACCATGGGGTGATAAGAGCCACCTATCCAACCCCATTCTGACCGATTGATATATTCTCATGGCTTCTCGTATCCCATTTAATTCCAAGTAAAATCTTCAAAATATTCCCAACTGTCCGTATGGATATTTTTTATACCGTGCAGCTGATGCTCCGTCTATTCTGACGTAATTTCTTTTAGGTCTGAAAACCATTGTCGGCGCTGTGATAGAATCCGTTAAAAATCTGCGCGATGTGATAATCCTTACGATGTTCTCGCTGTCCGTCTTTGCGCTTATGGGACTTCAGATTTACATGGGGGTCCTTACGCAGAAATGTATAAAAAACTTCCCCGAGGACGGATCGTGGGGCAATCTCACCGATGAGAACTGGGAGCGATTTGTTAGTAACGAAAGTAAGTAAATCGTCGATTTGAATACGTCTTGGAGATTGACGAGGGGTTTTTTGAGTCTATGTTTAATTTTGTTTTCTCTTTTATAGCTAATTGGTACGTGGACGAAGGTGGTAACATGCCGTTATGTGGGAACTCGTCCGGAGCAGGGTACGTGTAATTAACGTGAGATCTGGGAATGTATGGTTGTTGATGAAATTTTTTCTTTTTAGGATGTGCGATCCTGGATACACGTGTCTCCAAGGATACGGCTCCAATCCGAATTACGGTTATACGAGTTTCGATACTTTCGGCTGGGCACTCCTGTCAGCGTTCCGACTGATGACCCAGGATTATTGGGAAAATCTGTACCAGCTGGTATTGAGATCCGCGGGTCCATGGCACATGCTCTTCTTCATCGTAATCATTTTCCTCGGCTCCTTCTACCTCGTTAACTTGATCCTCGCTATCGTCGCCATGTCTTACGACGAGCTGCAAAAGAAAGCAGAGGAAGAGGAAGCTGCTGAGGAGGAAGCCATTAGGGTAGGTTAACTTTTTTAATCGGACGTCGAATCTGCCGTAACTTGGGTACTGGTGCTGGAAGCGCAATGGAATTTCGGTCTTACGTAATATCCTGTTACGATATTACAGGAAGCCGAGGAAGCAGCCCTGGCCAAGGAGAATAAACTGGCGGCGCAGGCGGCGGCCCGGGAGGCGGCTGCTACGGCGGCCGCCACCGAGCAAATCGTCAAGTCGCCGTCGGACTTCTCCTGTCAAAGCTATGAGCTCTTCGTCGGCCAGGAGAAGGGCAACGATGACAACAATAAGGAGAGGATGAGCATACGATCGATTCAGTCGGTGAGCGAACACAGAGTGAAGCCAGCGAACAACAATCACGGCAGTGCTACCACCAACAAAGTCCGAAAAGTCAGCGCCGTAAGTACTGCGTGCGCACAGACACGTGGAGGCTTCTCACTGTACCGGGACAGAGTAGAAAACTTAACTGGACGTTGGAGCATTTTTGTTTTCTAGATCGACTTTGACAAGGAGGATGCTATTTGGGATTAAAACGGGGTATTGGAATTTTTTTTTTTTGGAAACTAACTTTTGGTTAGACTCGATTCACGGTGTGGACGTTGGTTTTGTGTTGACTATCTTTTTTTTTTTTGGACAAATTTAGGTTAACATTTTTTTTATATCATTGCTTTTGCTTGGCGCGACTTAATTAACAATGGACTAATCACGCCGGTTCACTCACACACAGGGAAACTAATTCAGTTGGTAATTTCTTTTTTTTAAGATTCTTAAATTTTTTTAACACGCTTCTGAATAATCACTATGCTTTTTTTGGTTGTGTCTTCCAACAGTATCCAGCATCTTTATGTGTTATCCTCTACTATCTTCATACTATCCAATTCTGTTTGGCACCGTCCAGTAATGTCCCTTTTCGTGTTAGTCTTTCATTCTGGACGTTAAAATGTATTTTATCACTGTAACATCTCAAATTTCACTTAGTCGATTCTCCTTTCCCTCTTACGTGCTTTTCAATTACTTCTGAAAATATTTTTCTTTCAACACCGGAAACAACACTGATTATTTTCACCACTGATATACGGACTTGGGCATGTAGGATTAAATTTTGTCGTCGGTAGTGAAACGAACGGACAAACGAACACTTGATTGGACAATATGGACAGTATGATATTTAGTCGCATGACGTAATTAATAGTATGAGTTAATTCGCATGAATGTTCTCATTGCCCGTTCACGCGTATGAGCCAATCGAATGAGGAAAAAAATATTAAAATATATTACAATGTATCTTTGCCACAAGAATTAAGAATTTTTGTATCTATGGCAATAAAATAAATTGCCGTGACGTGCGGACTGATTTTGAAGTTTTACAAACATTTTGAAGAACAAACGAAAAGTAATATCTTCCTGCCACTCATTTGAACGACTCTTCACGTAAAGAAAAATGCTACCCAGATGTAGATGCTATGCCAGGCTTCCTTTTTGACTTTCTTGTCGAAACTTCTTTTTTCTACTTTTTCATTTTGAACTTGTTTAGTCACTTCCGAGAAAAAGGTAGGATAACGTAGTTAATTAATTTCTTTCTATATTTTAATTACGCTCTTTGCCAGAGAGAAAGAAAAACAGAAGCAAAAATCCAAACACGCAACACAGCAGGCCGCAACACGGATACGATTCTCAGACACATCCAGGTATACAGAAGGTAGCGACAACAGAAACTGAAACAGAAAAAAAAAAGAAACAATCATCTTTACTGCAACAGAGAAAAAATAGGAAAAAAAATATACAGAAACACCAAATTCACAAGACACGTAGCGCAGTAATGGTGTATCGCGCGTCTCCTTTATGTGTGTGCTTTTGCAAGATCCGTGGCTCGTTTTGGTGTAACAGGAAAGAAAGAGCTAAAAAAAAAGTAAAGTTGAAGAATGCAAGAAAAATTGAATATAAATTCTGGGAGTCAAAAAGTTAAAAGTAGATGCAAGAAAAAAAAGATATAGCGACACCTTACGAGCGTTTGGTAGGAGAGATATTTTTTCTTGTTTTTCCCGAAGGGCTCTCGCGCCGCTAATGGCCAGTTTACTTATGCCTACCAGGAAAGTCTGAGGAAGGTACGTGTATCGTGTGGCGTGGAGTCGAGTCTTGTCAGCATCAGAACAGTACGTACCCGTATAACGATTAGGTCACGTGCATAAGACGAAAAGAATGCACAGGATAGTAACGATAACAGTGGCAATAGCCAATAGAACGTAACCTAAAAAGAATGAAACGATAGACAAGTAGAAACAAAATAGCCTTGCTGGTCAAGCCTTTGCCACAGTAACGTCAGTCCAATAATTGTTTTCGCATAACCTAAAAATCTATGCAACGCTATAAAAATAATCGTGCAATTTTATGTATCATGTCTAAGGTGGATAAGCCATGTGCCATATTACGATACTGTAGATTTTGTTATAATCAAAGCACATACTGACAGCTACAGATGTATCGCCGATGACTGGGCCATCCATCCTATAAAAGCCTCGAGGTTAAAACTGTACTTTGACACGTTACACTGGCATCGGGCTGACAACTGCGGAAAAGTATTTAATGGCAACAGTTAACGGTTGCTTAGAATTAGTTGAACTTATTTATCACAAACAAAGAATCTCAACGTTCTTCTAATGACAGTCACGATTTCGTTTTCAGGCGAGTCTCAGCCTACCGGGCTCACCGTTCAACATACGTCGTGGCAGTCGCGGTAGCCATCAGTTCACAATACGCAACGGTAGAGGTCGCTTCGTTGGTCCGCCAGGTGGCGACAGGAAACCCCTCGTGTTATCGACGTATCTGGACGCACAAGAGCATTTACCATACGCAGATGATTCGAATGCCGTCACACCGATGTCTGAAGAAAACGGCACGATCGTTGTGCCGGTTTATTACGCCAGTCTTGGTTCACGGCATTCCTCTTACACGTCCCACGCATCCAGATTATCGTACACGTCACACGGCGATCTCCTGAGCGGCATCGCAGGCGCTGGTAAACCCATGACAAAGGAAAGTAGACTGAGAAGTAGATCAGCCAGACCCCCGTCAGTTAACGGACATATGGGAGACTCTAATCAGAAGCATCATTATGTGAGTAAACCATACGTGGTAATTGATAAGTCCCTTGCGAGTGGATAATCTTGAATTCTGGTAACGGGATGTAACTAGGTGAAGCTTGATGGGACTTTTTAGATTTTTTTTTTAATTTCATATGTAAGTAAACAAAGCACGCTATTTTATTCTTCTTAGAGACTGTATCATATAAGACGTGCATTTTTTGCTGTATATATATTTTTTAATTTTTTCTACACCCATTGGGGTAAGAATTGACTTTCATGTCAGACTTAATGTATGATTATACTAATTAGTGCTGGGAATGTCAATAAAATTTTTCTTAAGGATGGCGATATGGAGGATCCAATGAACAAGATGAAGCAACAAGACAATCCGTTCATCGAACCTTCCCAGCAGCATGCAGTGGTGGATATGAAAGGTAACAAAGGCAGGATTGGATATTCCAGTTTGCTTAAGTTTAATTATTTAATTATACGTACACGTCGCTATTGTTTTATAAGTTGTTTCACAACGGCAAACGATGTACCTTATAATTTTACTATTTATCATCATGTACTCATATCCAATAAACATTGTGTTTTAATAGAATATTATTTGTTGATTTTATTACGTTACACTATAAGTAGCGCACCGCCGTGTTATTTATATACTATCACGTTTTTTATCATTCCACCCACCGCGTACAATCATGGTCATCGTCGTTCATCAATGCCACATCATCATCATCATCATCATAGCCCAATCATTATACACGGCACTGTTTTATGAAAAATTTCTCTTAACCCTTGTCATTTGTAGACGTGATGGTGTTGAATGACATCATCAATCAGGCGGCTGGTCGGCAGAGCAGAGCATCGGAGCACGGAGGTAATATCATCAATAAGTCAGAAATATAGAAAAGATTTAGATACCAATGAAAAAAGAAAAAATATATATTCATAGGAGATGAAAGACAAGACAAACGACAAAAGAGACAAAACAGGAACAAAGCGATGAGAATAATTCACAATTGACGCGAAACCAACATAATTTTCCTTTTTTCTCTATTTTTCTCTTTCACTCACGTTCAAGGAATAACAAAAAAAAATATCACTGTTTATCTATGTATGCGACCTACTCTTATACACTTACACGATTCACGATAATGATTCACTGATTGACACCGTTTCAATTTAAATGAACCCGATGGGCCATGCGTGCAAATTTCTTCATTTATTTATTTATTATTTAATTAGCATTAGACTCCTTCAACAGTCTTCGTCGATTTATATATACATATGCCTTGTCCCTCTGTACCTTTGCGTGTGTGTAAATAATTTTTATGTTTTTCCTTTTGTGGATAGCGATTTTTTTTTTTTTTTGTAAACCAAGCTCATTCCATTCATCCCACTTTATACGGGGTGTTTTTGAATTTCATCATTTTTCTGGTTTGCTAAATTCCAATATACCCAATAGTAAAAATCTAATTTGAACAACCAAACTAGCAGTTCCAATTATTTCTATGAATATTCATTCTCTATTTTCATATCACTTCGGTATAGTAGATATTAATATTTTCAATGTTCCTAAAGTTATCATCATCACAGGTATATTATATGAATGTCTAGGTAGTCCTTTTACTCCAGTAATTAGTACTTTACGCAATAACAAATTTTCTTCCCAAAAAACAATAACGAGTATCAAATTATTCTATTACTCGGTTGCATTCGGAATCTATACCGGGTGTCCTTGTATTTGTCCTTTTCCATCCGGAAGACGTACGAAATTTATTAATCAATTTTTTGAACACTGTACAGTATTGAGAACCACACTGGCAGTAGTTCGAAGCGTAACTAGTCCGCCAGCCATATCGTACAAGTGGCTCTATACGTCTGACCTACACTGGATTGTTCTACTGTACGTAGTACATGGCGCGTTACGTCCGGCAAGACGTTTATTCAGTGGCTGATTGGAACAGCTCCCCGTAATTGGATAATAAAAAAAAAAAATGGTGAAATATCGTTACACCCCATATAAACTTGTACATTTATACATATAATTATCGATGACTCATTTGCGCGCCGAATTGCTTCCTACAAGAGATGTCCCATTTTTTAAAGTTAAATCTGGCTTTTATTTATCCCAGCCCTCTTTACCCTTAAATAACAATAAATATTTTTCTATTAGTTTATTTTTATATCCCTTCTTCTTTTTTTAAGTAGAAACGCCACAGAGTCTCCGTAACTTAGTTGTTTATGGTAATTGGCTGTTGAGAGTGTTCAGTTAGTACGTAATTACCGATTAGTATTTTTGAAAATATTTATAAATAGCATATACACTGTATATGACGGCTTGTGTACCATTACACGAGATTGTACATAATAATTAATATACTCGATGCCTGATTAGTCGATGGAATACCGTTTTATGATGGGTTTTGGAAATTGATTATTAAAAAATATAGATTTTTATTTTCATTATTAATTTCATTCCCAACGCTATTGTTGCTCTCGTGTACGAGTAAAAGGAACGATGCCTGACTATCTTTATAGTACTGTATTTTTTTTTGAAAATTTCCTGAGTCGTTTTATCTTTTTGAAAGCACACACACACAGACACACACGGACGTATAAGAAGTGGAATTCAAGTTCGCAGTGTGAATTTTTTATTTCTTTAATTTAATTAACAACACGTGAACGCAATTGTATAGATCTCAAAAAATACATATACGTACAGTAAAGTGCGTGTGGGTCACGCAGTTGCGTGCCGAAGTAGTGTGTAGCGATTTTTTTTTTTGGGGAAAAAGAGTTTTTCTTTCACTATCCTTTTGTGTATTTATTTTGTTTCTGTGTTTCTTTTTTAAGTTCTGTTTTTTTACACTCTCCCATATTTTTATTAAGGGGACCATCGTGCGAATACCGTAGAATTAAATATGCATGAATTTATTCCTTTTTGAAATTTGAAAACTGGTCTCGAAATCTTTTTTTTTCACTTTTTATTTTTTTACTGCAATCAATTCTTCATATCCTGCTTTTATAATTCTTTTTGATTGTCTTGTTCTCCCTGTCGATTGATCCTTTCGTTATCCATCATTCCCTTTTTCCTGTTTTCCTTCATCTTTTTCGAATTCTTCGAATTTTTGCTTTCGATATGGACTCTCTTAGATACGGATTTTGGCGGTATGTTTATTTACAATGCTTTTAAGTGAATAATTGCTTATATATATTTATATATTAATATTATGATTATACAAGCACCTATGCACAGTCAATCCCACACGAGGACACGGGAGGCATACGTAACTTTTATTTTCGGTCCACGTGACTTTTTATCATTTTTTATAAAAATATTGCTTTTTTGTAATTATCTCTGTTTCCGCATATTTCTTACTTTGATAAGCTTCACTTGATTTTTCGCAAATAATTATTACGATATTTGAATCCACATGTGCATACCTGAGTGAGCCATTCATGAGTATCATATGTAAAAAAATGCTTGAATTATAATAGTCAAAACATGCTTGAAAGTATATATTTATATATATATATATATATGTATATATGAGATGCAGAATTGAATTATTATTAAAAAAATATAATGCACAGATAATAGTACATTATGATACAAGTGCGGAAAGTTGATGATTTCTGACGAGTGAGACGCCACACGAGTAGGAATCATCAACCCTCACGCGTATCATATACTATTTTTTGCAACAATGTACGGAAAATTCGCAGGATATGCACCAAAAAAAAATCACGAAATGGCCGATTCTTGACGATTTCCGCACACTCTGAACTCATCAAGAATGGACCATTTTGCGCTTGTTTTTTGGTGCACAAACTGTATACTTTCCGTAGAGCGTTGCAAAAAAATTATTAAAACAATTTTTTATAGTTTTATAATTATTTCTAATAAACGATACACTAAAAATTCATTACCGTATTTTTGACAAGCTTGATAAATTTTTTTCAAAATAGTCATACTGTGCTAATAATCCTAGTTGACGCTATAGCATTGTAGCAAGTGTATGTATGCACCGCATGAGTAAGAGAAGACAGCAAGAAAAAGAAACTCGGCAAAGACAAAACCTAGAATAACAAAAATTGGAAGCAATAAAAGAAACCGTTTCTGATTTTTGCCGCATGCCACTAATTACTGCACAGTCTTGAAAATTCTTTAAAATCGTTTACGCAAAATCGAGGAAAAAGGGAAAGATAGAAAAGGAAAACAGATGAAAGAGGCAATTGCACAGCCAGGCTTTTTTGCCATGCATGGGCATTCTTCATCGGTTGTTCGCATGACAATCAGAAAGTTAATTTTATAGATTTTTGTTAAAAAAAAAAAAAAATCCGTCAGTCAGATACAAATATAACATTCTGACGTTCATGGATCAACCGAGTAATCACCACCGCGAAGCTTAATTAGTAGATAACGAATAATTAGATAAGCACACAATGTCCGTATTGTTGTCGTAAAAAAAAAAGAATCCAAAAAATGATAAAAATTGGCAAAAAAAGCTCTACGAGAAAAGTTGCCATAAGAAAGTAAAAGAAAAAGAGTCCGAAATTTCTGCAAATGAAAATTCAAAAATTGCACAGGATACGTATAGATCATCCCGTAGATCCAGAAAAAAAAACTCTTTAACCCCCAAAAAGAGTGGTGCCAAACAAGCTTACTAACACGTGGTACAGTTTCGATCTATTACTTTCCGACAGACGACGACGAAGAAGGTCCCACCTTGAAGGAAAAATTATTGTCGTTTTGCCTGCGCTGCATCGACATATTCTGCGTCTGGGATTGCTGCTGGGCTTGGCTGAAGTTCCAAAAGTTCGTCAGCCTCGTGGTATTCGATCCATTCGTGGAGCTCTTCATCACTCTCTGTATCGTCGTGAATACGCTCTTCATGGCTCTGGACCATCACGACATGGACAAGGACATGGAGAGAGTACTGAAATCCGGAAATTACGTAAGTACACCAGCAGCTGGTAGTTGATTATTAAAAAAAAAATTTTGACAATATTTTTTAATAAAAAAAAAAAAATTCAATCTCATTACAGTTCTTCACGGCTACATTCGGAATCGAGGCGACCCTGAAGCTCATCGCCATGAGTCCCAAGTATTACTTTCAGGAAGGCTGGAACATCTTCGACTTCATCATCGTAGCCCTGTCACTGCTGGAACTGGGCCTGGAGGGTGTACAGGGCCTTTCAGTATTGCGATCCTTCCGATTGGTTCGTTTTAAATATTTCCGATAATCGAATCTGCCATCTCGTTATCGAATGCCAGAAGATTTTAACGTCAACCAACCAGGAGCTCCTGCGTTCTAACGATCCTAATCAGACCCCAGTCCAACTTTAATCAGATCCTCCTACCTTGCCGTAACCTCTGCTAGGTCAAATTAGAGTCGTTAATCATTTTCTAAGTCGAAAAAAAAAAAAAAAAAAATGAGTCACTGTATACATTCCTCTTATTGATTTCAGCTAAGAGTTTTCAAATTGGCCAAATCCTAAAAAAAAAAAAAAAAAAAAATGAGTCACTGTATACATTCCTCTTATTGATTTCAGCTAAGAGTTTTCAAATTGGCCAAATCCTGGCCCACCCTCAATCTTCTGATTTCCATTATGGGTCGAACGGTCGGCGCCCTGGGTAACTTGACCTTTGTACTCTGTATCATCATCTTCATATTCGCCGTGATGGGCATGCAGCTCTTCGGCAAGAATTACACCGACAACGTCGATCGATTCCCGGACGGTGATTTACCAAGATGGAATTTTACCGATTTCATGCACTCCTTCATGATCGTCTTTCGGGTGCTTTGTGGGGAATGGATTGAGTCCATGTGGGACTGTATGCTGGTCGGTGACGTTTCCTGTATCCCATTCTTCCTGGCTACGGTCGTCATCGGTAACCTGGTCGTAAGTATAGCATCCGAAGGAAGAAGAAAAATATTGTTTAAAAAAAACAAATACCTCAAGCACCACTGCTTGGTACCAATGCTGGTACCGGAGAACAATTTTTTTTTTTAATATTCAAAAATATTCATTTATCAAAACGTGAGAGAACCATGTATCACCGGCTCAGCCTCTATGATCTCTGATGATGATCTTGCTTCTCTTGGTACCGTGCTGAGGGTTAGTTAGGTCATATCTGTCGTGTTCGGAAATCCAGGTTCTCAACCTCTTCTTGGCGTTGCTCTTGAGCAACTTCGGCTCGTCAAATCTGTCGGCGCCAACGGCCGATAACGACACTAATAAAATAGCAGAGGCCATCGACAGGATAGCACGGTTCATCAAGTGGGTCAAGCGAAATCTACTTTATTTGGCTAAGTTGATGAGGGCCAAATTCACCAACCAGATATCCGATCAGGCGCCAGGTGAGGGACCGTCCAACAGTTGGAAAGAAGGTTTATATCCAATCAGATCGCTTGCTGTGTGCGCTGTGTAGTTTGTTATCGCTGTGATTTTTTGAGCCCGGCTTACTTTTTTTTAACACGATTTTATTTTATTTTCTCTTTCTTCCCGTTGGGAATTTTTTTTCTGACTCTGTATCGTGTTCGACCTTGATCACTCCTTGTTCACTCTTTTTACTCGTTTTAGGTCAACGCGCTCTTTCTGAATCTGATTGAGAAAATTTTTTTTTACCCTTTACTTGCGTTTTGCTTTCTCTTCTTTTCTCTTTAACTTCGTGATTCTTACGGATAGCTGCTAGTCGCTTTTATCAGTTGGATTTGAAGTGGATATGACCAATAATTGTTATAGAGATATTCCAAAGATTATTTGTGTCTCTGATGTTATTCTTTTGGTTTTCCTTATTTTTTGTTTTTTTTTTTAGTCTTTTTCGTTCTTTGGATTGCTGCCAGTTCGAAATTTTTGACGGTACACCATTATGTTACGAGATTACGAGAAATTTTGTCGACATTAATGAAATAAGTGCGTGGGATTAATCAGAACTATTTTTTTGTAAATTAATTCAATGTTAAGAATGGGACGTGATTAGAATGGGGCAAAGTATAAAAAAATGGTAACTAGCATTTTTTCCGAAATTCTGATTAATCCCGCTAGGAAATTGCATGTATCTATTGTAAAACAGGATTATTTATTTATTTTTCTTTTACTCCGTTTCAATCTGTATCGGAATTAGTTTGGGTGTTAAAATGACATAATTTTTCGAAAATTAATTTTATTATTCAAAATTAAAATAATCATACAAAGAACGTAGCGAGTAGAGAAAGATTGCGTAAGACAAAAAAAAAACACGAAAAACCAAAAAGGGCCGAAAAAGAAAAAAAGTAAATAAAAAGGTTGCAGATATTTTTTCAAAATACGAAAAAGGGACTTCAATCAGATCGTGCCTGATTGTGCAGATGGAATTGATCGAGATGGAGATCTAGATCTTGCAGATGGTGAATTAGACGGCTATAGAGATAAAAAGAGTGCAAAGGATCTGAACAACCAATTAGAAGTCGCGATTGGAGATGGAATGGAATTTACGATTCACGGTGAGTAATGATATTTTTGAAAAAAAAAAAAAAAAAGAATCCTTCACGATCATCACTGAGCACCTCGAAGAAAAATCATCATCGACCGTTTATTCCTGACATAAAAAAAAAATCATTAAACCGTCATCCAACTGTCACTAACGTTGATGGAAATTCCCGTTTTCGAAGGAGATCTGAAAAATAAATTGAAAAAAGGCAAACTCTGCATGAACAACACAAAAGCAATTGGCAATTCGATAAATCATCGTGACAATCGTATGGAGCACGAATACATAAATCATCACGACGAGGATACCATAAGGTCAGTCGATTCGATGATTAAGAGAAGAAAAAAAATTTGGTTAGAAAAAATAAATTTCAAATTTCATTTTTATTTTTATTCAAACCTTTTGGCTCACGCTACAGTAACAAGTCCTACGGGAGTCACAAGCATCGCCCATTCAAAGATGAGAGTCACAAGGGCAGCATGGATTCGTTGAATGGCGAGGAGAAGAAGGATGCCAGCAAAGAGGATCTGGAGGATCAGGAAGGTCTGTGGGGAAAAACAAAAATATAGGTTCATTTTACGATACTTATATTGCTCTTGTAATAGACCTAGAAGAAGAGGGTGAAGAGGGCGAAGACGAATTGGACTGCGAAATCATTCAAGCCGACGAGGACATAATCGAGGCGGATTATCCGGCCGATTGTTGTCCTGACAATTGTTACAAGAAATTTCCATTTTTGGCGGGCGACGACGATGCGCCGTTTTGGCAGGGTTGGGCGAACTTACGATTGAAAACATTCCAGCTGATCGAGAACAAGTACTTTGAGACTGCGGTCATCACGATGATCCTGCTCAGCAGTTTGGCACTGGTAAATATTTTTGGAAATTCGAAAATTTTCAAATTTTTTTTACAATCACCTACAAATCTGCGTAGATGAATATTCTTATATAAGAAAAAAAAAAAAAAAAAATGTTTTTTCTTTCAGGCTTTGGAGGACGTTCATTTGCAACAGAGACCAATACTCCAGGACATCCTCTACTATATGGACCGTATATTCACGGTGATCTTCTTCTTGGAGATGCTGATAAAGTGGTTGGCGCTTGGATTCAAAAAATACTTCACAAACGCGTGGTGCTGGCTGGATTTCATAATTGTCATGGTAAGAAGACGCGATGATGAATATTATTAATTCCCCCTATTTTTTAAAATTATGCCTGCATTCTTCATCGTCCAAGCGGTCGACATGTATCGAGGCATCCTGTGGATGACGCAACGTTCGACTGAGAGATTTGACTCGATTAAAACAAAAGTTTCTGAAAATAGCTTATAAAATCCCTTTTCGCAGATACACGTGAAGATCCAGATCATTCCGGAGGTACAAAATGTGTCGAGGACCAAGGATTCTGGATGCGTACAGTAATTTTTAAATTTCAAAAAAAAAAATTTCACCTCACGTACTATCACGCATCGTGACGTACGATTATACTAAGTATCAAAGCGTAAAACTGTTTCCAGAATCCGGGGACTCGGAAAAAAATCTATATAATTTTAACAGTGAGCACGAAATACTTTTTTCGAAATGGTTGCTGCCCCTCGAGTCGATGCCGGAAATTTCTGTCCACGTTATGAATTCTTTATTTACCTAAGGTCTCAATTGTCTGTAACGTGTCTAACGTTTGAGTTAATGACACTAGCTGTCGCTGATCAACTTGGGCGCCATCTGGGCAGGAGCCGCTGACATCCCGGCATTCCGTTCAATGCGAACGCTGCGGGCTCTGAGGCCCTTACGTGCAGTCTCACGTTGGGAGGGCATGAGAGTAAGTCATCGGTCATCGGCGATGTCAAAATTTGCGATCAGAGGAAAAAAAAACTCAAAAAGAAACAGCGTTTGAAAAAGTGAAACTTCATTACTAAGAGACGGTGCCGCCCTCTGTCGTCAGGATCCCGCACTGTCTTACGTATCATTATCATTGTACGGTGACATTGTCAGTCCAATTCGTTAACCTAAAAAGTACTCGTACGTATATGGGATAAGTTTAAAAATTGCAAACAATTTTTTTTCAATATACCACTACACCATATATGTCACTACTGGATAATTATACGACAGAGTGCAGAGTCCCGACGATGCGGTAGCGAGTGAAAGTGGCGCTTTTCGCTTTTGTTCCCAGAAAAAAAAATTGCGAAAAAAAAATTTCCCAAAAAAATTTCCTATGTATTCCCCTCTCGCCCACCCAATCGCTGCTACGATGTTGTAGCATACTGCGATGTGCTTACTGATGTGCGGAGGTACACTGACGTCCAAATCTACTTGGTGTCTGCACTGATACTGGAAGTTTTTGTCGTACTAGCTATTTGCCATGTACGCCTTTTCTACCATTTTTGGTAAAGTGATCGTTGTGCGAAGTGACAGTATGCTTTGTATGTAATGTACAGATTTCCTTGTGTGTTCTCTGCAAATAACGTATTGGGGTTATGTCATCGTGTCAGGGATCACGCGTGACATTGGGATTCCTGTACACGGTGTCGCGTGAATTTGGCAGGTTTTTTGAAGAAAAAAAATTGGTAGGAAAAAAACATATTTTTTTTTTTGAAAAATCATCACGTAGATGCAGCGACCTATAATTATTTAGTCTTATATGCCAAATTGACCGACAAAAAACAAAAGTTTAGTCTGTTTCAGGATGGAGCCGATTGTTCATTGTCTTTTTGATAAATACCACCGTGTATTCCTACGTCTTGTACTCTTTATATTGTCTCCTGATTGTTACTTGCTACGCTGTCGTAACCTTATCTCTATCTACTGTACCTAGAGTGAATTTAAATAACCTCAGGCATTCGATTACGAAGCAACCTTCGCTTTATTTCTAATCGACAAATTTGACCTGTGCGACGATTACATAGCGATCGCGTAATACTAACTGAAAGAAAAAATTATTACTAGAAAAATAAGAAAATTCCAAAAAAATTTTGGATTTTTCAAAAAAAAATTTCCACGCGAATCGCTACCCTTATGTGGTCACGTTGGGGGTTTCGTTCGAAGCCTAAATCCAAAATGCTCTATTACGACAGTGCAACGTGTCCAAGATAACGGTGAAATCGTTCACAGGTCAATCGTGAGGGGGCCGAAAGTCGAAAAATTTCGAATCGTGATAATGAAAAAATTTTTTCAAAAAAAAAAAAACAAAAGAGGAGCATTATTTATAGGGGTCCCATAAACCCAAAAATCTCTATATCTCTATCTCTTATTTTCTTCTCACTGTCTCCGACCAACGTATGTTAACCTGATCCAACAGTAGACCTACCGATTCTCCGTCTTAGCCCCCTCAATGAGAAAGGGTGATTTATAATTTCAAATCGACAAAATATTTTGCAGAAAAGAAAATGAAAAACAGTACGCGTAGCCTCTACCTCGCTATGATTCGCTCTCGTTTCTCGCTCGCAGGTGTCACTCATTAACTTCGTAGCGTCGCTCTGTGGCGCGGGCGGGATCCAAGCCTTCAAAACTATGCGGACCCTAAGGGCCCTAAGGCCTCTCAGGGCGATGTCTAGAATGCAGGGAATGCGGGTATGTAGCCCACCGTCTCAGCTGACCTTGTCACGTGTCCTTTACTACTATATACGACATACACACAGTACGGTACCAATTACATGCAAATTACATACCTGTATATACATATATGTATATCCGAGGTGCATGCAAAAAGTGCACATAAGGATACCTCGATATATCTGTGGATACAATATAATAAGGATATACACATATGTAAGCATATATTTGTACCATGACACAATGGACCGATAACGCGTTGATACAATACATATATTTTTTATTTGTTTCACAAAACAGATTTTCCACTACCAAAAAAAAAAAAAAAAACTTTTCTTCATAACAGTACAAATAGCACGATTTCTTTATTTCCAAAAATTTACCACAAATCTCGAATCCTTGAAAGACACGTTTTCATGCATTAATCAATTTTTTATTTTCAAAGTAGCAGCAGTCTTTTTGTCATCCTAACATTCAAAAATACCCCCGTTCGCTCATTCTCGAAAAAAACAACCTAATCATCGCGCCCGCACATACGAATCATTATTACGTTGTTTGACCTAGAAAAAAAAAAAGTGCCGACACACGTAACCTGAGTCATCGAATCATTTATGCACGCACGACAGATAGATAGATGGATATCTAGATGCATATTATGCGGATGAATGCACAGCTTGTTGGATAATCTAAAAAAAAATGACCAAGAATGCAACTTAGGATTGGTCGGCCATTAACCACGCAAATAGTGATTATATCTGACTTACCATGATCAGCCATGTGATCGTTCATGTTGTAAGCAGAAAAGCTGAATTGGTCAAAAAAAAAAATTTTTTTCCCTTCTTTTATCTATTTCAAAAATCTGTATCTAATGCAGAAATTATTCGGGATCCATATACTTGTTAGTACAGAAAAGTATAAGGTCGCTGAGACATTGGGTGTAGAATTTACGGCCATGCCCATACCCTGAACACTTCAGCCTGACTCTATTCCATAGTGTACATTACATAGTACGTAGTAACAGTAGTACGTAGTGCTTGCATGTGAGTCTATAGCGTTTGTGGGTTAGTGCAACTATTAGATGTTGGAGAAAAAATGATAACGTATGATATAAATAATGAATACAGTAAGGTAGAAGTGGCCAAGGAGTACGCACTTGATATACGTATTTATTTGGTATTGCGACATCAGGTATAAAAAATATTTTATATTGGCCATACGATGGAATTAAAATGGCGTACACGTGAAAAAAATATTTATAAATTTATAATATAATTAATCTGCAAACATAATTTTTTTCTCGAATTTTTATATTTTTATAATAAAACGCTTTCGCGTACTTTTGGGCATAATCGCTTCTTGAAAGTACGCGACCTTTTTTTTCTATGGGGAAGAGAACTAAGGTAGATAGGGAACTGGAAGTGTCATTTATACAAAGTTGGGAGATTACTTATATATGTTGTTTCAGAAAAATATTCAGCTGCGTACTTTCGGAATACTTTTACTATACTGTTTTATCATTGGCATATGTTGCATGCTCCCTTTTTCTATGCATGCGCCATCTATGCTTATATGCTATGTGCTACTGTGCTGGATGCATTTCTCTGGCGATACGAAAAATATAATGTATCGGACTCAAGTGTAGCGATACAATGTATTTGGGATTGTCGATAGATATTTTAGAGAAATGATCTTGCTGGTAGAAAAGTATAGTTGTGATTCTCTCTCGTCTTTTCCGAACCCACTATACTCTTCTCGTCTTTCTTGTGCATCTGTCAGTGGGTTCTGTGCAGTCACTGAGGCAGACGACTATACTTGCCTCTTGAATAGACCTGTAGATATATAGGTTGTCCTATGAAGTATTTGCATATATACGGGGATGATTTAACGATGATATATCATATATATTGGGTATAATGCATTGTAGAGTATTTACGTATTTAGATTTTTTGTTTGGAATGACATATAGCATCTCGTGACGGTGTTGAAATGCGCGTGTTATGGGACACCCTATATTTTCGAAACGCCTAGAACTTTTTAGAAAGCTAGCGCGATACGTGCTCGGCACGTACACAAATTGGGAAATACGTGGTAAAAGGAAATGTGGAATTGAATCGAAAGCGTCCGAATGCGGTAAATGATAAGCTACAGAAATTTTTGGAAAATACTCGCCGTCCTGCGAGTCGATTCAAAAGAGGGCATAAGTCCATAATTCCAAAATTGAAGTTTGAGCCAGCCCGTTATCACTAGCTACTTAGTAATTTAAGTCACACGTATCCTTGCACACGTACGCGCGTACAGGAGAATTATATTTTTAAATCTTCATTACCAAATTTTGATTTGCGTACTCTTTCGACTTTTTATTTTTGATTTTTCATATTTCCCGTTCTTACTTATTCCGAATCACGGTTTTTGAATTTTTTTGATCTTCAGTATTTTGTGATTATTTTTTGGCTAAGATGCCCCTTCATCTTTTTTTTTTTCATAAATTCCAGTTTTTATTTCTAGTCATACAATTTTTAAAGATTCGTGCACATGACTATAGTCGCTACACGAAACACAGCAGCTCGGCTATGTAGAAAGTTAAAAATAATATCGGTGCATCTTGTATCTACATACTAATTTACTTGAGTATTATTATTTTTGTTTCTTCCTTCCCAAGTTCTTTTTTTGAATGAACAAATATCGACACGATGTTTATTAACATAGGAGTATCATCTCATTTCTCACGAGTCGAGTCTAAAACGTCTATTTTACGAAAGTGACCAGTACCCTCAATAACAAAACCAAAACAAAAAATAAAACATCCCAATCTACTACACTGTCAAAAATAAAATACACTTTCGAATTAGTCGTTTTAATTTGACATCGTTTTCTCATTTCATTATTTACTCGAAACTACATTCACAAGTCATCAAATCATTTCTAGAAGGTATAACTATAGTCGACCCATCATTCTCTGAAAAAAAAAACTCACAACTCACATTATTTCTCGAATTTGACAAGAGCCATTAACTTAATTCGAAAACTCTCCGCTAGGTGGTCGTCAACGCATTGGTCCAAGCTATACCATCCATCTTCAACGTGTTGTTGGTGTGTCTGATATTTTGGCTGATCTTCGCCATAATGGGAGTACAGTTGTTTGCCGGAAAATATTTTAAGGTGAGTCCAATAAGAAAAAAAAAAAAAAAAATCAATCCAAAAAACAAAGCAAAACAAAACAAAGCCAATAGATCGTATTGGATCAATGAAGTAGAAAAGAAATTCGAAAATAAAATTTTTTTACTTTTCAGTGCGTCGACACAAACAAAACTACACTGAGTCACGAAATAATTCCCGATCGTAATGCCTGCATAGCCGAAAATTACACCTGGGAAAATTCCCCAATGAACTTCGATCACGTGGGCAAAGCATACCTGTGCCTATTTCAAGTGGCAACCTTCAAAGGCTGGATACAGATAATGAACGACGCCATAGACTCCAGAGAAGTGAGTGATCGAAGTCATTGCAAGTAACAATAAAGCCGAAACAGGTTAAATAAAATAAATAAAAATTTTCAGGTAAACAAACAGCCGATTCGCGAAACTAATATCTACATGTACCTTTACTTCGTGTTCTTCATCATATTCGGCTCGTTCTTCACCCTGAACCTGTTCATCGGAGTGATCATCGACAACTTCAACGAGCAGAAGAAAAAGGCTGGCGGTTCGTTAGAAATGTTCATGACGGAGGACCAGAAGAAGTACTACAACGCAATGAAGAAAATGGGCAGTAAAAAGCCATTAAAAGCCATACCTCGACCAAGGGTAGGTCCATGACTAATTCGACACCCCGTATACGAGGGGATGCCGTGTAAAGTTGCTTTCGTTTTTGAAAATAAATATTTTTTTTCTCTCTAATTGCAGTGGCGCCCTCAGGCGATAGTGTTCGAAATAGTTACGGACAAAAAGTTCGATATGATAATAATGTTGTTCATCGGACTGAACATGCTGACGATGACCTTGGATCATTATCAGCAGAGCGAGACATTCAGCAACGTCCTGGACTATCTCAACATGATATTCATAGTGATATTCACCAGCGAATGTCTGATGAAGATCTTCGCCCTGCGCTACCACTACTTCAAGGAGCCCTGGAACCTCTTTGATTTTGTTGTCGTTATATTATCAATATTAGGTAATGTAACGTAATGACTCTCTCTGTCGTATGACCCCGATGAAATCTATCGAATTTACATGCCAGAATCGAGATACCTGTTAGCTTTATCGTTGCAATCGACTCATCGATCGGAAGCACCGATTTTTCAATCGTAGATTGACATTTTCATTTTTTATTTATCTTTCTCGTCCTGCCCGACACTGATTGTCTCGTAGCCATTAACGATTACATTCATCGTCTTTGGGAATGCCACGTTATCTATGAAAGATCATAATTTTTGGTTTCATATTTTTTTTTTCATTTTTTTTTTCGTTTCATCAAAAAAACAAAAGCGTAACAGGCGCAAGTTTCAATCGAGTCGCAACGATAGAACTGATGTCATTACGTTATGTAGCCTCACATTGATGTCAATTGATGTTTCCCGTTAGAAAGCCACTTGCTCTCCACCTTGCACCCATCTCCCATTTGGTTCCAACAATGATTCCTTCGTTGTACATACAATTGTATTTCCGTTCCCAAACCCGTTGTGAACTACCGTGAAAAGGACTTCTTCGATATATTAGGATGGACTTAAGTAATATCGCAGCAAACGATAAGTATTTCACGTACAAATCACATTTGTGCACACGATTCAATCGTTTGGGTAAGACTTGCCTGCGCAGTAAATAATTTTTTTTATACTATTATTATATATACTATATATATATATATCTATATATATACTATTTATTAATCGATTTACACTGCATCCTAATGATTCGATAGTCCGCTCTGATCTGTGACACTTATTCTTTTTTGTATCTTACTGTCACTGGGTTTTACTTCATCTTCTGGATTCACCTATCTGTTTCTAGAGTTAATCTGTTTTTGTGGTGGGGAAATTTCACAGTTTCGCGTACACGAAGATACTCGATTTTTGAAAACGTGTTCCAGCAGTCTTTTTTTTTTTCTATTTCAATTGATCATAATCTGCATCTTTTCGTCGAATGAAAAAAAAAAAAATAGACAAGAGTAAACAATAGTCTTGAAAATTAGACCGAGCTTAGTCAAAGTGGAAATGCTGCTCTTAGTTATCAGATCACAATAGATAATAGAAATTAGGAATTCCTGTCACGTAGTAGAAAGGCATGTCACATTCCCGTTCCAAATCACACTGCAAAAAAAAAAAGATAGATGAAAAAAAAAGTACGATAGTACGTAGATCTAGTTGCATTATGAGGTAGAAGAGACGCACAAATTTTTTATTCTCTGCATTCCAAAGATTCATCCTTCAACAAGAAAAAAAATTGACAATCAATTCCAAAAATCCACCTTTCAATTTACACCCATCAGACGCACCTAAACCCTCGTGTAATTTCCATTCTCTCAGGTCTGGTACTCAGTGACATAATCGAGAAGTACTTCGTCTCGCCGACCTTGCTCAGGGTAGTCCGGGTGGCCAAGGTCGGTCGGGTGTTGCGATTGGTAAAAGGCGCCAAGGGTATTCGTACTCTGCTCTTCGCCCTGGCCATGTCTCTTCCGGCCCTCTTCAACATCTGCCTCCTGCTGTTCCTGGTGATGTTCATCTTCGCCATATTCGGCATGTCCTTCTTCATGCACGTGAAGGACAAGAGCGGCCTGGACGACGTTTACAACTTCAAGACCTTCGGACAGTCGATGATCTTGCTGTTTCAGGTAATCAATCGTTAAAATCACTGAGATCGATGTTCTCCTTTGACATTGTACCACGTCCGCTGAACATTTGCAGATGTCGACGTCCGCCGGCTGGGACGGCGTGCTCGACGGCATAATAAACGAGGAGGACTGTCAGGAGCCAAACAACGAGATAGGCTACCCAGGAAACTGCGGCTCCTCGACAATCGGGATAGCGTATCTCCTCTCCTACCTGGTTATAAGTTTCCTGATAGTGATAAACATGTACATCGCCGTGATCCTCGAGAATTACTCGCAGGCAACAGAGGACGTGCAGGAGGGTCTAACGGATGACGATTACGACATGTACTACGAGATATGGCAGCAGTTCGATCCGGATGGCACACAGTACATAAGATACGACCAGCTATCAGATTTTCTCGATGTGCTCGAGCCGCCATTGCAGATACACAAGCCGAACAAGTACAAGATTGTGTCGATGGATATCCCCATATGTAAGGGTGACCTTATGTTTTGCGTGGATATCCTCGATGCACTCACCAAGGACTTCTTCGCGAGGAAGGGCAACCCGATAGAGGAAACCGCCGAGCTGAACGAGGTGCAGACCAGGCCCGGTGAGACGGGCTACGAGCCTGTCTCCTCGACGCTCTGGCGCCAGCGTGAAGAGTATTGCGCCCGCCTGATACAGAACGCCTGGCGCAAGCACAAGCAACAGAAGCTCGGCGGTCCCAGCGAGGAGAGTGACGATCCCGACATGGATCCGCTTTGTCATCGCCAGACGGCCGTCCTGGTGGAGAGTGACGGTTTCGTGACGAAGAATGGCCATCGCGTTGTGATTCATAGCCGCTCGTCCAGTGTGACATCGCGGACGGCCGACGTCTGATCGGAGCCTCTCTCTGCTTCCTTATATAAGCGGTTACCCCCACCAGGATGGAGGCAAGTCTTACCGAAGTCCCCGCCCACGTGGGACTGCCCGACGCAGGCACCGCCCACTAAGGAAAGTACGGATGTGATAACGACAGTCACGGCTCAACCGCCGGTCGAAGCGCACGCGTGTCTATTTACTATTGCTACTGCTACTACTACTATTACTACCACTACTACTATTACTACCACTACTACTACCACTACTACTACTACTACTCTAACAGCCTTATAGTTGTATAATATACGAGGAAATAATTGGATTTAAATAAAAAAATGGACATCCTCCGTACCATTTGCCTTTATCAACGAGCAGTCGAATCTGCTGGAAAAGGCAGCGATTTGGAGGTTCGTGTGGCGATAGACGTGCAGCCATTCGAAATCGGCACCACTCGGTTGACGATTGCGTGAGTGGGGGATGTTCATGTGTGCACTGCGAGGAAGAGACTGTGTCTTGACAATTATATATAGTGAGATACTTTTTTTTTCCTGTAAGCGTATGGCGATGGTTATGTAAACAAGTTAGATGCTGACGCATTCGAGTCACTTCCCCATTAAATATCGACTCGGAGGTCGCCAGCATCGCCGTGTATATGAGGACGGGCTTTCAAGTTGAATAACAGTGGTGAAAGTGAGGTGCGAGTTGGAACTCTCAACGGAAAGTGAATGAGTCCAACTATTGACTTGCCAATGTATACTGCGAGATGCAGGAAAAAGAATATAATGAAACTAACCTTTCGAAGAATCGATTAGGAGAACTTAAGATCAGGCTAAAGGAGGGGAGTGCATCCGGAATAACCAAATAATAAATAGAACGATGAAAACTGGACCATGCTGCCCTGGGTACGTCGTGAGATAAAGAAAAAATGACTGTTACAACTACAGGGGCGATACTGCGACGAAGAAGAGGCAAGCAGTTTCAGAAGGGGAGCAGGGATGGACAACTGACAGAAAAAGAAGAGACATATGAAGAAAAAATGAAGATGTATAATTAAGCACGTGATTATTAATTACCGTATTCAGGTTTTCTACGTTGTTGTTTGGGAGCGCGCAAAGACGAATGCGCGCACTTTCGTCTTTGCCGTAACCGGAAGTGTAATATTTAACAAAACACGGAAGCAACTCCGTTCGGACGTTTCTACGCCACAGCTGCACGCGATCGGTTGGAGAGCGGAGCTGATCGAAGTTAGGAGTGGGAGCGACAAGAGACAGGTGACTGATAAGGGAGATTTAAAAAAAACAGAGAAACCTAATTAATACAGCCTATTCTGCATTTCGGCTTTTTATAATTGCACTCTTCTACTCCTCGTAATCTCTATTCGAAAATAATAATCCACTCTAATCTATTTTTTGCGTGTGTCAAAAGGGCGTGGCCACGGTAAAAGGGGCGTGACGGCGAGCTCGAGCGCGCGCGATTCGTCGGTGGTCTTCGTGGAGGGGAATACGGTGGGCGGGTCTTGCGAGGAGTGTGGGCGGGTTCTCATAGAAAGGGACGTGGTAATAGTTGGATTAGTGGTGTGACGGTTGCGAAATAATCGAAATGTTAGCTAATACGTTCAGACGTCGCGCTGGCTTCGCGGAATAACGTTGTTTCGTGTGAGTGTGTGTGCGGTGTGTGGGTACGCGTGTGCTTCTGTGTGAAAGCAAGCATCAAGTAGAGTCGAGAATAGCTGAATATTATTTCTGTTTGATTTTCATTTAAATTAAAATTTTTTCGGAGTCTTTAAATTTTTCCTCGCATCTAATCAGTAGATGTTTATATATAGTAACGCCTTAGCGAGTATTGCACGGCGGAATAGTAAATTCTTTTATCACAAGTAAAAATTAAAAAAAAATCAAAACGGGTCGATAAATCATAAAACTAGTTATCGTAATACAACTTCTTCGTGTAAATATCGCGATATTCTAAATTTTCTTGATACTTGGCATTAATACAAATTATGTTTTGTTCTTCTCAAAGACACGCATTAGGTTTAAATTCATGATCGGCCATAATTATTTTGCCTTGTATGAGTAGCCGCCTTATTTTCGCATGTCGAAAACTTAACGAAACCCGGAAGTATTAGTGAAGTATGGGTGAACCATATAAAAAAAAAGGACATTACCTTATTACCGATAACGACGATAGCCAAAAGTAAAGAAAGAATAATACGTCAGCGAAGCCAGTCGATAAGCCGCATCCATTCGCGGACGCGCCTTCGATATTTTTCTATGCGTAAAACGTGAGTCGGAGAAAGGATGTAAAAACTTGTGAGAAACAGGGATAAAACTTAACAAAAAAAAAAAAGTAAATAATTGATTATCGAAAAACATGACGGGAAAACAAAAAAACATACTCGCGGTGATATCGATTGAGCAGCGAAGTAACACTAGCGGCGCGTAACGGTTTTTGTGGGGATGATCGGTGCATGTTTTAGGAATGGAAATTTGTAAAGTTTAATTGTGGTCAGAGTCCACAGCGACATACAGGCGGTTATCTATACGTCTGCGTCAAGCGTGACGCAGAAAAGAACTAACGTAAGAAAACGTAATGAGGAGGTAAAGAAAAAGAAAAAAAAGACAAAACGTTCATTACTCTATAAGCTATAGAAGCTCAAAGGGAGAGGAAAATCATTGTAAATTACTCGTACAAATTAATTACTATCGGTGTCGAGTCCGCTTGTCAAATACTTATAGAGTGCCCGTCGATATTATTACCCACGGTAAACTTTTTCTACTTAGATTCGCATCTCGATTTCTTCGCGCGTTTTTTTTTTTCATTCAATGCGGATGCATCGACTTTACCGACGGTGTTGCGTGAAGCTTGATACGGCAGAGGTCCTTCATTACCGACGGCACAGTAAATTCATTGACCTTCATTCGATTTACGAATGTAATATTACACAACCACCTCGAACTTTATCTCAAGAAAGAGAAACATGTATAAAACGAATTACATCAGGAACTGATGTTTCTTTTTCAACATTGCTTAGTAATATGCCCGTCCCGGTGGCGCCCTCTGTCGTCGCGGTGAAGCTTTCTCTTCGTTACCGGCTAACGCTTCGAGTTTATAATTCTTCCGCCCCCGTTGAGTTCAGAATGCTGTAATATGTGCAAATAATTCGATAATGCCGAGTGTCTAAAGTAAAATGTGACGGTCGTGCGCAGGCGCCGCCCGAGATTCCCCGCGCAGGTCCTCGGCGAATTTCGCCACGGCGCATGCGCGCGCGTGCACTAACGCTAAGCAGCATGGCGTCTTTAATCAACAGCCATTCGAATCACGTTGTGCGGTAAACTTTGTCAGCTGATCGCTTCCCCCGAGCGTTGTCAAGTTTTACATCGCACGATATGAATTCGTACACTTTCGCAAACATGGGTAAACACGATACTTACTCATTCACCCACACACACGTTTCATGCAACAGTTGTGTAACACGCACATACGCGTTTTAATCGACGGTTTTTTTTTAATATGCTGCGCGCGTATTTCGAACGGAACTTTCGACCTCGACCAATCGTTCAGTTCAATTCAGAGGTCTCGTTCGAGTGGATGCGTGCGCATGCACGTGGCAAAGTAATAATGTGATGTTTCTCAAGGGCTTTAAATGTAATATGCAGCGCGATTATTGTGTAACGAGTGAGTCTAGCGTGAGATTCTTTAAGAAATCGGAAATGCAAAGAGGTAGGTTAGGTTTTGACGTTACCGACTGGAACTAGCGAGTGGCGTGATATTGAAACGATGCGCGCGCAACTGATGACCGTTGGTGGGGATAACAACGCGATTGGCCGACAGACTTCCCCCACTTCTCAATTACATCCCGCGCGGCATCACGACGTTTTTCCCGCACGGTCTTTTAACCTGCGCGCGCATCCTGTTACGTTCATACGTATGAGAGAAGATGCGTGATAAGTCGAACTTTTTGAATGTTCCACCGTTACGTTATTCTTCTTTCGGTTCGTACGACGCCCTCGGGACGAGTTCTGTTCCGCATTCTTTTTTTCTCGCACGACAGTTCAGATTTTGCATCACTCTCATCGCCTCATTCTCTTTATATCTATATATATTCTCTCTCTGTCTCCGCCAATAGATGTCGAGCGTTGAAATTATGACTTACCCGTAATATAGTGTCTTAAATCTATTCCATAATTCGTTGGTTACTCAAACGCGACACTTCCAGCATTGTCTCGTATATATTTTTCTTACTTTATAGTCATTTACAGTTTTTCGCGGCTTACGAAGGGGCGCGATGTTGATCTCGGCCCGTGGCGTCGGCCGGTCCGACGTGTTTGTGAGTTCAAACAAGCGAGTACACGGTAACCAAAAAAGAAAAAAAAAAGAAAGCAACACAGTCATAGACAGCGGAAAAAAATTTTTAGATTATAATATCGTTAAAGCGCAGAATATTAAAGAGTTTTCAATGGATTTGATTTGCAAAGCATGAAATACAAACGATGAGAAACGGAAATAGGCTTTTCGAAGTAGATTCAATGCAGTGTCCGTGTCCGAGATCACGTGAGTGTACCACCATGATAAAGAGTCACAGAGTGTATGAATGATCGCAAACTTAAAAAAGATATATGATTTTCAAAGGGAAATACTCAAAAACCCCAAAAAAAAAGTAACAAAAAATAAGAAAAATACTAAAATATATTAAATGCAAAATGGCGTCTGTCGGCCAGTAATAAAACGAGCAACTGCCATGGCTCAAAACTACGTAGATGAGCATAAGATGATTTAACGAAGTAAAACGAACTAACGAAGAAAACAAAAAAAAATAAAATAAAAGTGCAAAAATACGTACGACACAAATTAAAACACTTTCATGAACACTCACAAGTACACTTACACATACCCACATCCGCAAAGCTATACAGACACCAGAGAGACAAGAAATCCAATTTTAACATGTCTAGCTATCGAGAATCATTAAGAATTGTCCATTATATAGATATTCTGTTATCAATTTGCGAGGTACCCGATAACTCGTATGCTAAAGGTGCGCGCGCATTAGGGAAACGGAAAGAGCTTTAGATTCAATGGAGTCGTTGGCCGAGGGGAGCAAGTACGAGTAAGCAAGATGGAAAGAGTATCACGTGTATAAGGTGCCGTAGAGACCGTGTTTTCGCGGATAACCACGTAAAATCCAAGAATGAGGACACCAACAGTGAAATGTCTGGATGGCAGAATTAGAAAATATGTTGGGTAAGAGGCTGCAGCGAGAGACATTCGTTACTCTAAATCAGTGATTTAAGGGATGAAACAGAAAAAGGACAAAAAAGTATATGAGTTATTTGCACAATATTATATGAATATAAATGACGACAAAGGAGCAAGAGAAAAAAAATAGCAAATGAAGGGATAATTACCATGTTCATTACGATTATTAAATTAAAGAGCAAATAATAAAAGGGTAAAACCGTTGTTAAACAGTGTAATTACGTGAGAGAGAGAGAGAGAGAGAGAGAGAGAGAGAGAGAGAGAGAGAGAGAAAAAGAGAATGAGCAGGTGAGGTGGGGCAGGAGAAGGGTTAGGTAGAAAATAAGAGATTATACATGAGCGTGCGAGAGAGGTAGAAAGAGGAATAAGAGTGGTGTACAATCGTGAGAAAGAACAGAGGACGAGGGATAGAAAAGAGAGAGAGAGAGAATAGGGAAGAAATTACGAGCAGAAAAAAACAATAAATGATTTAGCAAGGATGATCGATATTATCGGATAATTAATTGGATCAGAGCGATTGATTTGTTACGTTCGTTAGTTACCGATCATTATATTGATTATTGTAATTATAAAAAATAAATAATTATTACCGTAATAGTTAACAATTAACAAGTTGTTACCGCTTTGTTATACACAATATAATTAATATACTAAGATTATGAAGTAACCTGAACGGCATCATTAATTTGTCCTCTACTAATATTAATATTATGCTGGTATTGGTGCATGATATTATTTATGAGTTCCTTGCTCTTTTTCTTTTTTTTGATTTGTGAATGCTTTCTTCGATTCCCAACCACAGTTACTGATTTTGCGATATTTCGTTGGTAGAATGCATGTATTGATTTTTTCCAATTATAGAGACAACGTATTTGGAACGTGGAAAATGTATTTTTTTTATCAAAAAAGGAAAAAAAAAGTACATCTGGTTAACAGTATACAATGAATATGAGTTTCAAATTGATGACAATAAATGGGTGCGTTCAGCCGACAAAACGGGTGCATAATCGGTGAGACAACAGTTGCGAGTCACCAGTGATCGGTAATCAGTGTCTGCTGAACGACATTTGTATATATCTAGCGGGTATATACAAAAAATGGATCCAGCATTATTAATTGCTTTGGACAGTGGGTTCGATTGCAATTTAATCAGATTATTAATAGATGATTTGATAGAACCTATTAATAATGATTTAGTAATGAGAGAACGTGGCGTTAGAGCCAGAAATTAAAGTTGTGAGGCGGTTATAGTTCCTCTATACATATACTAATAATTTGTTTAAAGAACATTTTCGAATGTCACGCATAAGTTTTGAAGCAAGTATACATCTTTGAATCGAGTGATAGTTTTAAAATGCACAAAATAAACTATATAACTTATAATATTGGACAAGTGCTAAGTAACCGGTTACGTTCAGAGTAAAATCTAGGGAAATCATTCACCGGTTGTGTCGGCTGAACGCACCCAATAAATCCTTTATTTGAGAATAGACTTTAAAAAATTGGAACTGAATAGTTTACTGAATTCATTTCTTGTAAAAATAAAAAATTATCCAAGAAGAATAATGGATCGTGAAGGTACCAGTAAAAAAATTTTTTTTAAGGTGTCATTACTTTAGATTCATAGACGTTTTGTTACACCTCATCGGATGATGGTAATCATATTGTAAGCTGTATATTTTTTTAAGAACATACCAAACTATAAAAATTTTGTTCATATTATTAGCTTTTGCAACTCTGTAAATAAAGAGCTTATAAACATAAGCTACATCATTATTCTAGTTCACAGAACTCTTACAAGCATACAAGATATATTATTTAATTAAAAATTTTACACCTTCAGAAAATACAGAATGCATTTTAATTGTATGCACGAAAACATAATTGTTCATACTTCGCATTCTTGAATATAATTAGATAGTTTGTCATTTCGAAGAATGTATTTGAATGAACTATCGCGTTTGTACAGCAGCTTCTTTCCGGGCAGCATCCTGTAATAACTGAGTATCCACCTCATCACCAGGAAGTTGAACGTATCTCACAACCGAGCCACGAATAAAACAGTTCTTAACCGACAGCTAGAGTAATAAGGAAAATATAATCACAATGTATGAAACATACCTATAAATTTTATTATAATATGATCACTCACCATGTGTGGATATTTATCAGGATCTGTCACACTAATATCTGTCAATTTAATATTTAGATACTGATCCACCGAGTGTAACGTGCCACAAATACTGTAACAAAGTAAGACTAAAGAGCACAATTCACATGTATATTTATTATTAACAACGATAAGGATATTTTACCTGAGATCATTTTTTAATTCGACCACTACGTCCTTTCCAATTAACGATTTGAAGAAAGAGTAGAATAACTAAAAGATGCACAAGCAAGAGGTTAGAAACAATATAATCTCAGAATCGATATAGAACATGTACACTTACCATATTTGCTGTCTTATTACGTTTAACAAATTATAATGATTATTCTGGGTAGTAGATTGTTAATTAATTATACGTAATTACAACAAATAACGATGCCGAAATTGTTTGTATCCTCACATTCAATTCTCGTTTCGTAGCGGTTTCCGCATAACGTAGTATAACATAGGTTCATTAGATGGCGACCCTGTCGAAGTCTTTTCTCAACACAGTCGATAGATACTTCGTTCCTGGCTCCGTTGACTCTTGACCTCTCAGAGATAATCTGATAAAGAAGAAATACTCAGCGGTGTTACTGATAAAAAGCATGAAATGAATAAGAGGAGGTAGCAACGGTAGGACCAACCTTCAGGAGTAAATATATGTATGAAAAGAAGAACAAAATTAATCTAGAAACTTATATAAAAATTAAAACATGTTTCTTCTTGACAATTACTTAATTGAAATATTTAAAAACAGATTCCACAAGTTTATCTCTTAGTTGCCACAATATTTCAGCATTACTTGTCTCAATAGTCGTTGCGAAGAATTTAAATAACCAAGAAACCAACTGTATTATTTAGAGAGGCTCATGCCTCTCTCATGCCTGTTTTTTAACTCACTATGCAATATGGGTTATAACCATATCGTTACGATACAATTTTGTTTATCATAAGCAGCGAGGCGCACTCAGTGCGCGAAGTAGTTACTTCGTACCTTCAGTGTGTGAAATGAATTACGTCACACGCTGCGCATCAAAATGCGTGAATCGGACACTTCGTACACTATCAAAAGCCATGAGAAATCAAATTTCGCATGAGTTAAAAAAAAATTGTTCAAACCTCTAATCTGACAGTAAAAAAAAACAATAATTTTTATTTTTTATTCACTAACAGCCGGTATCTGAACGTTGGCTTTGAAATAACATAAAAAACCACGTATACGGAGACTGAAATAAATATAAATATTAACAATCATAGTAATCCAGTGTGAATCTTTAACCAGTATTTATTGGTTTACAAGATTTATTCCTGACGTTCGTATCTGACAGCAAGATACGTAGTTGTCAAATGTACCATAAGAAACATAACCTCCTCTCACCTCCTTGAGTTCGATTACCACACCCGATACACTGTGCAGTCTCGATGTATTTGAAATAAAACGGTTTAACCTTATCTGGGGGGTTATCCAGATCATAAAGACATGGTGAACCTATACACACCCATATATAAAAGAATTGCTATAACAGATTCTTTGGCAAAGACGAACACTGAGGTTTCTGCCGCGAAGACGTTCGAATGTACAATAACCTGAGGTTAGCCATGTATATCATAAATACTGTAGTCACTTTGGTTCTGGCTATGACAATGACAGCCGTTGCAGCAGACGACTCAGCGAGCATAACGAATCAGTATAGATATTTGAAATTGACAATTTTAACGATAACAATAATTATAATGTAATGTAGCTAGAAAAATTTGCGAGGAAGAGGGTGGCTATTTGGCCATCGTTAATTCTATAGCCGAGGCCGACGTGCTTAAAAGTATTTTTGAAAAGGTTAACCCTGCCGCTATAACCAATTCACCGGAGAGTGTCAGATACGCAGCTATCGGATTTCATGATCTTTATCAGGAGAATGAATTTATCACTATACACGGGGACAACCTGTACAAAGCCGGTTTCACGAAATGGCTACCTGGGCAACCTGACGATACTATCGGTAAGGAGAATTGCGGCTCGTTGCATATTAGCGGAAGACTCAATGATATTAATTGTCACACCCGATTTCCATTTTTTTGCGAATTACGTTAGTAATATTAACAAAAATTTGAGTTATACAATTACGACGATCAATTGTGCTTTAACGATGTGACCTTTACTCGACGAAAAATATAATAATTTGAAAATATAGTTCATGACTTTTTCTTTTTTTTTCTTTTTTTTTCTTTTTTTTTTTAACAATACGAAAATTAAGCGCGCGAACCCTGAATACTCTAGCGGCGCTGCAGCCGAGGATCGTTCAATGTATTCGCTTATCGATAACTTGGAAATGGCTGGATGGATTTTAATCTACAAGGTCTTAAAATGTTAGGAAAAAAACTCGCTGCATTTTCTTATACCAACAGAAAATGGCGTTCCATTAAAAAAAAAAAAACATGTAACGGGCTATATCTCGAAATCAAATTAATATAGAAAAAAAATCAGTTGTATGAAAAGTCAGCCCTTTTGAAACCATGTAACTTTTGTCTGAAACTTTTCCCCGTATCTTCATCGGTAACGAAGATAATTAAGGTCCGTACTTTCGGTGAGACACCCTGTATATACACATATTTATATTAAATATTTGTTATCCTTATTCCTCTAAAATATCTACCTTTAATTTTTTAATGATACAACAAATTTCTTTTACACAGTTCAATAATTTAAGAATCCAATGGAGTCTTGTATTATGCAAATGTGACTAAGAGCTACTTGGCAGCTGTCAATGATTATAATTAAAAAATAACTGTATAAACTGTCAGGAGGAAGTGTCAATAAAAATATTTTTGTCGAACATCATCGTTTCATTACGTAAGTGCATTTGTTGAATTCCATGCAGTCTGTCCACGTGGTCATGTTCTTTGACAGTTCGCAAACAACGCAAACCATAACAAATGACACGTGGCCTGGCGTACCACTTTGTCGGTACGAATGAAGCAGCTGCAAGGATTTTCCACTGAAATATATTTTATTTCTCTGTTTTGGCATATAATTATATGACTGTGTAACGTGACACGTTAACCTCGCGAGCCTATTACAGATAACTTAACTATATATAAATTTGACGTCTTTGAAATAAACATGTTATTATCAGGGAATTCCCAGTGTCCGATTACGGCTTAGATTTAAATAGCGCGAATCGTCCGGACGATTCGCTTATTCTCCACTAACAGTAAGTCATATAGTTTCTAATGACAAGTGCTACAAGTATTTTCGTTCTGATCGCCTTGCCGTGGATGACAGTTGCCACACAGGATGTCATCGTGGGTAAATTGGAAAACGATACAATTGGTGATTATAAATTTTTTAATTATTTTACAAATAAATCTTGTCACTGTGAAACGAAACGACTGATAACCGTATAAGAGGATCGAGGTAAAAACATCCCTGTGACTGGACACGTTTAAGTTACCTGACAAGACGTGGGTGCAAGAGAGATAGAAATAGGGTTTCTTACAAAAGTCAAGGAAGTGAAACCGTGGCGCTAGTGTCGGGCTATTGGAAATTTATATAAGGTAATGATATTTTTAAAATGTAAAATTTTTGAAATATAATTTTTTTTTAGTACAAGATCAAGGATGTTCGAATTCGGGTCAACGATCGATACCTCGGGACGATTACGAGTGAGTGAAGAATGTAATTTCTATGTAAAAATTTTTTTTTGGAAATGGAATTAATTTTGTCAAAATTTATATTAACTTTTCATTCTTTAGATGCTATTATTTTTTTAGGTATTACGCGTGTCTGGGATCGTACAGACTACATACGCGTGGAATGGCGTGGAACGACGCGCGTCACACCTGCGAACAAGAAGATGGACACTTGGCGATTATTAATTCAGCAGCGGAGGCTGCGACCTTGATCCAATTTTATCGAAAAGTCGGAACGGCTAGTATTATTCACGCTGCGACGCAGGAATTCGTCCATATTGGTTTTCACGATTTGTATGGCGAAGGAGACTTCGTCACTATACACGGCGACAGTATATACAAGGCAGGATATTCTAACTGGGCAGGCGGACAGCCAGATAATGTTGGTAACAATGAAAATTGTGGCAGCCTTTACTTCGGGGGCGGATTGAATGACGTAAACTGTCAGATGAAACTGGGTTTTATATGCGAATTAAAAACTCGAGTCGGATTTGAATAGTCAGTCGACTCTCTGTAAGATAGCGCGCAGGGGCCTGGTCGCGCTGTACAGGGACGGCGCTACATTACGGGGTGCCCCTACCAGAGTCGGTAGACGAATGTTTGACGGAGGCGGAATAGAGAAAAGTCTGTGAGACGGAAAAGTGGGGGAAGCATTCCCCTCGCGGTAATACAGCCTAGAGAGGCGGTTGAGGGGAAACGCGAAATTACGGAGCGCCTCTCTAGAGAGAGAGAAGCGCTGACGATTGGTGTTAATAAAAAATTTATTTTTATATCAACAATTGATAATTCTTATCAATGCCGGAGCGGAACTTGTGCTGTTAAAATAAAATGTTTTATCAATGTCTAATGATTTTTAGGACTTTGTTTAGATATCATCGCCAAGGGCTTTATCAAATTCTTGAATTCGCCTTCGAGCGCTTATCATGGAAAAATGATTAAAATATTAAATTTATCATGGACCATTTGGCGCATGCAGCCTCGTGGCCACGTGTAGAGTCTAGGGAATTTATTATAAATTTGTACTTCTTGCTTGCGATGTTGAATTATTTCTCTTTTATTATTATAATATATTAAAGTACACTCATATCCTTCGAACATAAATACAAATATGCGCTGGTCTTTTTTTTTTTGATGTCGAGACTCGAGAAAAATTTTCAAATCACGTCGATTATTCCTTTACTCATTTTCGTTCACGCGCGTTCTTTGACGTGCTGGAAGATTTTTGGAAAATTTTCATCCTTCCTCGCGCAGCCTTCGGTTCTGTTCGTAGATCGTGGTTTTTATTTCGATTTAAATAATATCTAGGTACATTGGCAGCACTTTGTGTCAGCGCTGATATAAATATATAATTGGTCACAAATATAACACTTAGCAATTAATACTTTAACGCAATTCTCATTGACGCGTCATATCGCAAGAGCCTTGTTACTGATAATGACTTTTGGATTGGTAGCCTCTGTGCGCGTGCTAGCTAGTCATCTAAAGCTACAGGTTCCTCAATTTTTCATTTCACTTTCTTTAAATGAAACACAGCGTTTTTGTTTTACACCGATAGGAAAGTTTCTATTCGTTTGTCCTTTAGAGTGATCTGGCGGGAAAATGTGACGAGTTTGAAAAAAAAATCACAAAATAAGTATAACAAAAAATTTTTTTTTATTTAAAAAAAATGGCCAAGGATTACGCGTGATCGCCACTGAAGTAGCTACTCTGCATCATGAAGAGCTTATCGATAGGATTGTGCATGGCAGCGTGCAAGCTTTGTGATAAGGATGGTGGGTCGTGGGATGTTCCTCCGTGATGAGAATGGGAACCACCTTGATGACTTCCGTCGGCTCCGCCACCTTCGCTCTCGCCAATGTCGAAGCCAGCTTCCGTTCCGTCCAGGGACAGATCGCTGCTGCAGAAACTTTCCCCGGAGTTTCCTGGATAGGCGTCTGAAAAAAAAATATTTTGAAAACAAAATTTTATTGGCACTGTTTATTGTCGATTAGTCAATTATTAACATACGCCAGTCTTTGGTCGAGATAGAATTTTGGGTTATGTCGAAAATAAGACAGAAACGAGGAAGCTTTTTTCAAAAATAAATGTCACTAGATATGTCGAACGGGGTAAATTTATTTTCTGTCACTTTTTTAAAACTCCTTTTCAGTACTGTCAATCTTTTAACTTACCATCGGGTGAGTATGGGTTATTGGGGTTGAGCGGTTGGGTTGCTGAAGGGAAGCTAGAAGATTCCCCATCGCGCATGTTCAAGGCGTTCAAGTAATGACCTGCGAACGAGACGAGACGGTTGACATGATAGCCATAGATTTTCCCTAGAATTCCCCTAGGCTCCCCATTAACCTGTCCTCGAGAAAATTTATCACTAGCAGCTCGCTCGCCTTTCGCTCGACACGTGTTTCGCAATAGGATCGACAGAACTTCATGGAAGATGTTCGAAAACAAGACTACCAATCTTTGACATATCTAATTCTTCGACTTCTCCTTCAGGCTTCCCATCAACTTCAATCTCAACCCGATTTTTATGAAAATTTTGACATATATTCTAAGGGATCTCATCGATTCGTTCTCACTTGAGCTACCGACTGCTTCATTGTGCGACAACAAGTATAGAAATTCGAATTTGGCGCGTTAAGGTTGCTGTTTGGTATGAACAATACTCAGTATCGGCATCAGCGACAACTGGTGACAGACAGTTGAGTTTCGATCAGTAGCGTACTATGCGTATCGTCTTGGGGGGTTCTAGAAGACGAGGGCCCCTATTTTCCGATTATTCAAAAATGCTCGACGAATATGACGTAGAAGCTGTTCTTACTTCCGACGTCATTCAAGAACCAGACGCATTGAAGAGCAACCTTAAGGCGTATCGCAATGAAATATTCCAGGCCTATATATTTCGAGCGTCCCTCGAACAAACATATCTTCGAAATTCGTAAAAGAATAAATTTTGAAAATGAATCATGAACTTACTGTGATCACTGTGAGGACTCTCTCCTCTCCTCTCTTCCTTGGTCTCCTTCTCAGCACCAGGCTCAGCCTTCGCTTTTCTCTGGAGTTTCTTCATTTTCGCACGCTGATTTTGAAACCAGACCTGGACCACCCGCACGCTGAGCCCGGTGTCCTTAGCCAGCGCCTCGCGTACCTTTCGACAAGGTTTTGGCGAGACCTCAAAGGAGGCCTTGAACTGCCGCCGCTGTGCCGAGGTCAGGATCGTTCTGGGTCTCTTGGGTCCGCGACGACCGTCACGTGGTCTGCTCTCATCCAGAAGGTCATCATCTACAGGCGATAGAGGATCTTCTTTAACGCATATACAAATATATATAGGGTTACTCAGCAGAGACCCAGCACCTGAAGTTAGCAAGCTCATTTGAGTATCATTGCAAAACCATGTTCAGGTGGTGCGTTCAGGTTGAGTGACCTGGTGTATATACCACATACACGATAACTTTGATGAACTTGATGAAACGTATATTTGTTCCAAGGACAACCTTGTTACCAACCTTGGGGACTGTTAAGAAACAGCTCGTGCTCGAAGTCTCGCCTGCATATCGGCTGACCCTGTCTCAATATGAAGTGTGCACCTCGTGGCAGCATCTGGCCGCACATGCAGCACGCGAAGCACTCCACGTGGAAGATCAGTCCTGCGGCACGCATCACCAGGTCCGAGCAGCTGATCTTCTCCATGCAACGCGCGCACTTGACGCCGAATATTCTCTCGTAATCGGCCCGACAGTAAAGTTTGAGGTCGCGGATGAAGCAGGAATGTGTCAGGGGCGTAGCACATGCTGCACAACTTAGGCAGTCCTCGTGGTAGCTTCTCTCGGATACTCTCATCACGTACCTGTCCGCAATGCCGCGGCCGCAACCGGCACATATTGCCTCCAGAAGACCCGATTCCGTCTTTACGGATACAGATGGCTCTGCGTCAATTTTTATTAGGATAATTAGACGCGATATTTTTCAGTGAGAAATTTTGACTTTTTTTTTTTTTTTAATCAATTGTAAACATTCAGTGTCATAAATTTGTGACTGATATGCCATTGTTGAAAAATGGACTAAGTTCGTAACTGTGGACTTTGACGCTCTCGAAATGACAAAATTTCTCTTTTTACGTGTATCGGGTAAATTTTGAATTTTTCAAAAATATCATTCACACTGTCTTATATCGTATGACGCAAGGGCTGAAGGAGAGGAAGAAATTATTAAGCGTTTGCGTATACCGAGATCGACCTATATTTTTCTATACACTTTTTTTTTTCTTATAAATTCTATATATCTACATGGTATTTTTATTATATTAGGTATTTATATGAAAAATTATTTGGGTTGATGTACTGTATGTGGGATAGGATATTACTGAAACCGACGACGTCCCACTGACTGAGTCCTGGGAACTCGAGAAGTCATCGAGGCACACACCGTAATAGGGCCAATTGAGTTTTGAGTGGTGTTTTTGAAAATACAGTAGGGATTATGGCAGCCGCGAATGTATTACGGAAATCGCCATCTGTTGCTGAGAAGTGGTCCCTCAAATCCGTGGGTGGTATTGAAGTATTTGACGTGAGATACGCACGTCAGTCAAATGCATCATCGAGTGGCAATAAGGGTCCTGTGCATATATATCTTTAGCAAATATTGTACGTACGGACTTTTTTTTTTCATTTCACTACGAATCTTCATACTTTGAACGAGCATGTATCACGTCGAACGATAATAGTTTCAAAATTTTTTGTCCAACACGTTGGAATGCAATGGGCCATATTTTCTTTGATCGGTATCTGAATCCTAATTGAATTTTTTTTTGAAAATAATTATATTACCTTTTTTTAGGTTGTCGAAATTTCGAATAATTTTTTTTTGCCATTTCGGGGTTGACTGTTTTTTTTTAATTCAAAAACAGAATTCTCTCACTTACCGGGGTTATTGTTATTTACTGTAGTAGGGCGAAAGGGCATCGGATGTCCTGGTGCTGAAGCCAGACGTTGTTCTCCATGGTGATTCAATGGTTCCGGTACCGGCGGGTAAAACTCTAACATTTTTATAATTTTTTTTTAATAGCTCACAAACGATACTGAATCTTTTGAGTTACGATGTATCCTTTTGGAAAATTTCACAAAATTTGGTATCTCTTCTTGGTATTGTTGCTACCAAAAGACAGTCTACGCGAAGTCATTCATGCTTTGTCTTTTTGGTTTTTGATAACTGGAAATTTACTGTTATTAAAACTTAGGGAATCACTGTGTGGCTGAGAAAAAATAAAAATTGAGTCTTTTTATAAAATCATAATGGGGAAAAGTACACAAATATATTGTTCACCATTCACATTCACGTAGAGAAAAACATTTTGAAATTTGATACGGCAGACGTGGGGATCTTTTAAATAGTATATGCCAAAAGTCAAAATATTCTTTGCATGTTGACACTGTTAATTGTTTTTGGAAATCACTCCAACAAATTTTTGTTTCCTCAGAACTGTTCGAAATTTTGGACAAATCACCGGCACTCACTACCCCGCAAATTTTTTTTGATCGTAACTTAAACACTCGCGGAAAGTCAGACCGCGATTTTCATTATCTAATTGAGACACTTTTCCCTGAATCCTGATATCTCTTCGTTGCGAGTACAGTACTGTCAACCGATTGACAGACAGTCAATACGCGATAGCGCAGCAGAAGAATAACCAAAAGGTACGAGAAACGCGGGTCACCAGTCTGCGCGATGACAGTTTTTTGACAGACCGGAGCATGTGCGTGTCGGTTCTAGGGAATGATAAAATTGGA